AGCTCTCCAGGGTCCAGCGGCAGCATTACGAAGGACAGCAGCAGACATGTCTTGTCTACAAAGCTTACTCCACCCATCTTCCTGCCCAATTAAGTGACTTCAGCCCACCCCAGCTGGCGCCCCAGCCCATTGGAGCTATCCCCACCAACGTGTGTAAAAGACATCCCAAAGACTTCAAATACCCAGACGGATCCTCCGTTCTCTCCCTGGCTGTGCTTGCTATTCTCAGGTCACTCCCTCGCCTCTCACCCCTGCTCCCACCTGAACCCTAGCTCTCCCTCCAGCTCCTGGCTGGGACACAAGAGCCTTTGTAGTTTGTTAGTGGGTCTGGAGTAAACCTAATTTTCTCTTCCTTTATATCATAGCAGCTCTCTTGGACTTTGTACCTTGTAAGTTAGCTAATTCTCTGGCTTTAGACACAGGGCCAGTTCTAACCTTTCTTTATCTGGCTATCCTGAACTCCTCTCACTTCATTTCCTTTGCGTTCCTGTTCGCTACAAACTGCACCTCCCTCAATAAATCTGTGAATTAAAGGTCTCGCTCTGTCTCTTATCTCTGAAAGACCTAACAAGCTCCCCAAAGGTAACAGTATCATTATTTTTAGGAGTGTCTTGCACAAAATAAGAATAAATATCTGTGGAAGGGAGAGCGGGGGAGGGGGGATTTGAAAAAATGCAAGGTTAACACTGGGATATATCCTGATGGAGATTATTTCTTGTTTTCTATTGATCGTTTTCTGGTTTGTTAATATATCTCTAGTGTAGAAATGTTGGACCACTGCAGGATTACGAGCCAGCGCCACAGTCCCTAGTTCTACTGCAGCTTGGAGGCCTGTTACAGAATCAGTCTGCCTTGCCTCTTAGACTCACGGCAATCCTAAAGGACAGGGTACAACTGCACTCAAGGGTTTCAGAGACTGTAAATCTATCAACTCAATAGCAGGGGGGTTGGTATTTGGGGGCGGGGGTCGTCTCTTATATGTTGTCACCTAGACTTCTGCGATTCCAGAGCCCCATCGCCTGCACTGACACCAGGACTCCACGGCATCTCCCCTTGCCCTCAACGCCAGCTCACGAAGAACCACCACGACTGAGCTTGTCTCATGACTCAGGTGCCCCCCACTAGGGATTCCTTCTTGTTTCTCAGTAAAGGGGGTATAGTAGTTACATAATCTGGTGTCAATTTGAGGATTAAGAGTGTAGCGGTGGAGTCCAGCCTGTCAATCCGGAGATAGCCAATGTGGCCTCTGTGTTGGCATGACCTTCTCCTGAGAATTCTGGGAACTCTGGTATTTCCTCCTTGGAGACGGGAGACTCTCTACTGACAAGACTCAAGGCTCACTCTCTGAGACCATGCTCTACTGACAAGACACATGACGCTACGCCCTGGAAGCCGGAGAAGCCACAGGGACCTACCCTGATGCACCCAGGCCTCTGGGGCCGGAGAAGCCACGTAGAGACCCCTGCCAGCGCTGAGATGCTTACACTGCGACTAGATCCAAAGACTTTCTACCCACAGGCCTGGGATCGTCCTGCATTCGACGTCATTGCCTGTGTTTCGTGAGTCTGAAGAGGACTTTATATATTGGTATCAGACATATGGGCTAATATCGGACTTGTGGGCTTAGACTGGACTGGGTTGGGATGCTTTCTTAATGTACAATTACCCTTTGTATAAAAATCTTTCTGATATGCATATGAGTTTCTATGGATTTGTTTCTCTAGTCTACCCAGACTAACACACGGGGTGTCAGCGGTGGCCTCCCAGTGAACTAGTGAGTTCTCTGATCTTATATAATAAATCCAATTTACAGGCCCATTTCTGTGAGCCTTTCGCTCTCCAGACTCAGACAGGGCCCTCTGGGCATCTCCTCCTTCACAGGCCATGATGTTCACCACACTTTAAGGAGCCATCCCAATAGCGCTTAGGATCAGACACAGGCATTTTCACGAGGGTGTAAACCAGAGTCACAGGGAAGTCTCCATATCAATACACTGTTATCTATTCTTCTGATCTGCTATCTTCCTCTTCTCAACCTTGTCCCGCACCCTCAAGACCCCGTCACAAACACATTCTACGATGTCTACCAGTTTGCATTAGTCAAGGGCTGAGGCTCCTTTAAGGGAGAATCAGTCTTCTCACAGCAGGAAGTGCCCTTCTCCATTAAGTCATTCCCAATCACCCATTTACAGCCAATGGGGGCTCAGGGCGAATATCACCAAGGATAGCCCTCTCTTCAGGCGGGGTCGGTGGAACGGTCTGTCTCTGCATTGTCTCTAACCATGCAGAACTGGCAAGTGGAAATGGGCCCCTTCTGCCGGGCCTTCCAACACATCCACCTAATTGCCCCACGTCAGCTTCTGTGCCCCACTGTTCCCCATTAGACGTTTGACACAGGTGGTCTCCTAATAAGGTCTTGGGCCTGCTTGTCAGCATAGTCTGCCCTCCAGCGGCCAGAAAAAAGTGCCCTTTCTGATGTGGCCTTCTGACTTTCGTGTTACAGCCCCAGTGTTTCGACTGTATTCAGCCACCCAATACGCCCCAGCCACAGTATTTCTCATTAGCCTGGTCCCGTCTCGCAAATGTTACAGACACCGTATTTCCCAGTGCCTACCTTTCCATATGTATCCCAGTTTCCCACAGGCGACACAGCGATCGTCCTGCGCCCTCAGGCCTTATCCCTCTCAGAGCCATTGTGCCACCTCAGTTCCCCAAAGACAGCTGTGCTGAGTTCCATCCATGTACACCTTGATCCACTCTCCGCTCTCTGAAACCTTTGTGACTGCAGCGATGGGCACCCTCACTCTGCTTCGATTCAGCCAAGGGGAGGCACCAGCAGATCAGAGCATGGGAGGAGGGTTGGGTATTTGCTTTCCCACACCTGTTACCAGGTCCCAAGCTGGGAATTGCAGCATCCTCCGATCAAAGACCAGAGCTCCTGCCAGACAGCCTTCTATATAGTTCTCTTTCTGGTCTGATCACCACCCTTTGCTCTTTCACCTTAGAGTCGTAGGACTGATCATTGCTCTAAACTGAAGATGTGTCACACACACACACACACACACACCCCGCCCTTGTTGATTTCCTTAAACCTGTCCACACACTTGTAAAGTCTCTTCACCAAACTCTCCACAATACCCCCATTGAAGTTTAACAATTGTTGCCTGTGAGAACCCTGCTGACGCTGTGATGATCTTTTCTCATCGTTTGTCAAGTCCTTAGGAGCCGTGGTGCAGCACTGTTTACCGGCTGGGCTGCAATCTGCAAAGTCAGCAGTTCGAAACCACCAGCTACTGTACAGGAAATAGATGGGGCTTTCTACTTCCATAAAGAGTTACAGTCTTGGAAATTCAGAGACAGGTCAACCCTGTCCTATAGGTCATTGTGGGTTGACATCGTCTCTGAGGCAGTGGGTTTTGGTCAAGTCTTTACTACCACCTTTTTCCCCGGTATTTTCTAAAGAAACCATCTTATCTCATCAGCAAACTCTGAGCAAAGTCCTTGGCGGGTGGATTGGAAACCACTTGAGTGATGCAACCCAGTATCATCCCTAAGCATCACCTACTGTCCCAGCAAAGGCATCTGACTCCTTTTTATATAAGAGTGACTTCCTTGCCCATCCATCGATTTGCACTGATGGTTGGAAGTGGCATTTGCTAATGCCCACTCATCCCAAATATGCACTCCATCCACCTAGAGCTTGAACGTCATTATCAACAGTTACTATGCTGTTCTATGAGGAAGTGCATAGATTCAAACGGAACTCCTGGCTCCCTGCTGTGCCGTGAGGTGTGTATGTCAACGTATGCTACCCAGAGCCATCTCTCTGTGTCTCTTACTGAATGTGGCACCCTAAACGGAGGTTTAAGTGAAAATTCCTTGTCGTTCACTTTAAGTGTGTTCCTATTATTTCAAGTGTATTAGTGACTAAAAAGACATTGTAAAACATTTTTATAAATTCAAAAGGCAGAGGACATGCTTTATTGGCATTAAGATAGATTTTCTTGGAATAGTATGAAAAAGAAGCATGGTTAAAAATCAATCCCCCAAAATACATAGCTTTTGAGGTTAAAAAAAAAAGCCACAAAGAATCAGCTGCTGTAAGATTTGAGAGGCAGGAGCTAGATAATCACGGACAGCAGTTTGACCCCTACAAACATGTGAATTTTCTGAGTTTCATAAATGCTGTTTAAATTTAAATTATGCTAAGTGGAGACAAATACTTGTGATGGAATCTTTTGGCGATAGCTTTGGGAGAACATCACACTCTAGAAACATGAATTTAGTTCCATGAGTTTTGAGCCTGAATGATAGCTCCAGTACATTTTTTTTCTGGGTTTTTTTTTTTTGTGGGGGGGTGGGGAGGGAGGAAGGGAATTAATCACTAGAAAGGATTCTTTTATTAATTTTAAAAGAAATTTACTTGGAAATCACAACACCTTTTCATTTGAACTAGTGTGTTCCTCCCTTTGTTAATCTGAGCAGTCACTGAGTCTTGGACAGCCCACTGCTCAGTTAAAATGGAAGGGTTATTTTCTCTTGAGAAGTTTGCAGTTGGATTTTCTTGGGAGCAGGAGGACTAGAGCGTTGGTTTTGTTACTTTCTGACCCTTAGAGTTCAGTTGGAGGCTGGCAGTTAAATAGGACCTGAGAATGTAACAACTTCCTAATCCCATTTTCCAATTCCATCCATTGTGTTTGAATCATGGACCTTGTAAGGGGAGGACGGTAGTGTACAAATTATGTTCTAAGGCACAAGGCAAAGAAAAATGAATTTGAAGATGTATGATTATTTGGGTGAGGGTCCAAATATTGTTGTACAGCTTTAACCTAAATAGGTTGCATCTGGTCTGGGTTTCAAACCAAGACGTATGCCTTCCTCCACCAATGGGGTGAAATTAAGCAGTCCGTGAATCCAGAGGGTGTATCTGCTTGTACAACCTGTGCAGGTGGGCCGTGAGGTACAAGACCGCCAGCTGTGTTCTGCAGACCACGCCAGCTTCAAATGGTCTCACACTCGGTGGTGGCCGTGGAGCAGGCCCCGCAGTCACAGCGGACGGCCACAGGGTAGGTGTAGAAAGGATCCACTCCAGGAGCACAGTTGGGCAGCTTGACAGTCACCTGTCTGGTCTCGTTGTAGGTACAGACTCGATGATGGGCTTCGATGTAGGGGGGCTCCAGAATGGGCTTCTGTCCCCACAGGTAGAAAACAGGAAACCCATTAGTACAGACCAGCCTGCTTTATTTTCTTGGGACCACGTTTCACTATCTGATATGAACTGACTCATTTGTTGACCTGTTTCCACCACCACCACCCCCCCCAGAAGGCAAACTCCTGAAAGCAAGAACCCGTTCCTGTTCACCACCATCTCCTGAAACCCCACAGAGTCCTGGCACACAGCAAATGCTCATTAAATATATAGCCAATGAATCATCTTAATCATTGCATACGTCTCCTAACTAGTTTTCCTCTCCTGTCCTACCCCCTACTGTCTATTTGAAATGCAGAAGCTCCAAGTGATACTTGTAAAACATCAATCAGGTCCTATCACTCTTCTGCCCAAAGTCCTAGTGGTTTCACACCTGCCTCAGAGTTAATGGCAAAGGGTTCATAAGCCAAAACCCATTGATGACGAGTCATAGAAACCCAATATGTTGTGGTGGTGGTGGTTGCTGTTGGGTGCCATCGAGTTAGATCCAACTCACAGTGACCCTGCGTACAACAGAATGAAATTCCACCTGGGCCTAGGCCGGCCTCAAAAGTATTCTTAAGCCTGAGCCCATTGTGGCAGATGATTATCAATCCATCTTGTTGAGGGCCTGCCTGTTTTTCACTGCCCCTCTACTTTACCAAGCACCATGTCTTTCTCCAAAGCCTGGTCTCTCCTGATGACATGATCAAAGTACATGAGATGAAGTCTCTCCATCCTCGCTTCCACGGAGCATTCTGGCCATACTTCTTCCCAGACACATCTGTTTGGTTTGGGGCAGTCCCTGGCAGCCCTGTATAGAGTTCTGAAACTGTAAACCTTTACCAGAGCACAAGGCTTCACCTTCCTCTTGAGGCGCAGCTGGTGGGGCTGAACTACCAACGTTGTGGTTCGGGCAGCACCACCTTAAAGACCTCACCACCCCGGACGATCTTCCTTTCCCCATGACATGAGCGAGGGCTATGAGCTTTGGTAGCATCGTGGCTACAGGTTGAGCTTGTGGTCCGCAGTTTGAAAGCACCAGCACCGCCACAGAAGAAAGATGAGCCATCGACTCCCGTACAGCGTTACAAACTCAAAAACTCAGGGGCTGTTTTATGATTCATCATTGACTCCTTGGCAGTGAGTTTCAGTTTGAATTTTGACCCTAGACTTACTGATTTGCTCACTCTGATCCAACCCACATAGTTCCTCGAACCTACCATGTCAGGGTCTGTGCACTGAACATTTCCTCTCGTCGGGATGTTCTCCTGTACAGTCACCCCTTCAATGTTTTTTTCACCCACTCAAGGCTGCCTTTCCCGACCACCCTACTGAAAATTGCAACGTCCCAACTCCATGCTCCAGAACTTCCTCAGTTTCTCCTTGCTCTACTTTTCTCTGGGAAGCTTTTATCAATACACCTGACAGATTGACCTCCGGGCCTTCAAGGATCAGCCTCGGTTTACCTCTCCTCCTCTACTCTCTCTACTCTTGGAACCTAGAATGGGTTGTCCAATAAAATACAGGACCCCCAGCTAAATTTGAATTTCATATCAACACCTGGTCCTTTTTTTGTATAAATCAGTCTCAAATATTCCACAGGACAAACTTATACTTGAAAATGACTTGTAGTTGATATGAACTTCAAATGTAATCGGGCGTCCTGTCCGTGTCTCAGTTTTGTTTTGTTTCATGTAGTAGCTCTGGCAGCCCTACACCCTCGTCAGGAGCAAACGCTGTTTTCAGCAGCAGCTCCCCACCTTCAAAGGCACATCCGGCTGCTTTGTCCTCTGGAACATTCCTGTTTTCAGACCAGTTGAGTTATACACACACGTACCACATCTTAGAAACTTTCATATTGCCTGGAAAATAAACATTTCTTTCTCACCTATAAGTAACCTCACAGCAAAGACATTTTTTCAAAAACTGGCTAAAAGTGAAAGGATATTCTTGTGTCTTCGTGTTGGTATTTCGGCTCTCCGGGGAGTGCACAAACCCCCTGCCGTGGCTGTGCATCAGTGAAAGCCGGTCACCAGTTCAAAGAAGAAAGAACATGGGCTGACTTGAAGAGAAACAGTGGTTTGAGATTTTGATCCCAACGAGCCCCAAGATTTGAGCTGCATGCAGTAAAGTGAGGTGCTGCCAGGCCTTAATATGAGAAGGTACCAAAGTCCCCTGCATAAGACTGATGGCAGGTCACCAACCACAGTGTACAGCAGCTAGCTCAATTTTCATCTGGCTATCAGGAGCCCTGGTGGCACTGTTGGGTAAGCATTGAACCGCTAAACACAAGGTCAGCGGTTCTAGCCCCTCAGCCACTTTGCGAGAGAAAGTTGAGGCAATCTGTCCTCATCAAGATTTACAACCTTGTAAACCCTAAACAGGGGCAACCGATGGCAGGTTCAACTCGATGGCAAAGGATTTGGTTTATCAGATCTCCAGCCCTGGTGCAAAAAGAAATACAGCTAATCTCGTAAAATAATTTCATTTAATTTGGAAATTTCATCACCATGACCCAATTCCCCGACTCTAAATACCAAAAACAATGGCTGTAGAGTCCATTCCAACTCCTCGCAATCCCTGTGGATACCAGAACACAACTGTGCCCCAGAGGTCTTTCAAAGACTGATTTTTTTTTAAGTACTGTATATACTCATGTACAATCCAAATTTTTTCAGCCCATTTTTTATGCTGTTTCTGTGGTAAAATTAGGTGCCTCAGCTGATATTTGGGTTGGCTATACTCTAGTATATATGGTAGATTCCCCATGTCTTTCCTCCGAGGTTCCTCTGGGTGGATTCAAACCTCCAATCTACTGGTTAGCACCCCCTAAGGACTCTTAGGAGGAAGGAGAAGGAGAAGAACACTTCTTCTCAAGGGCAGTATTCCCTTCTGGTGCCCGTGGGTGTCCAGGCAGCTTCAGTGGGCGGAAGTTGTACAGCTGCAAGTACAGGGCATCTCAGGTCACACAGTGAATAGTTACTGAAGGTCTTGCTCCTGCGTGACACTTTGACAAAAGCTACAAAACACACACACACAAGAATGACTCGCCGTCTCTGCACTCAAAGAACTTAAAAGCTGGTACTGGTGGTGGAAGGAAAACAGAAGAGAGATTCTCATCAAGGTCTTAGCAGGAGTCAGAAAGGGTTGAGAGAAGGAGTTGGCTCAAGAGATGCTCATCCAGGAATGGGTATGACCATGATGGGTGGAAACGAGAAGGAATATTAGGAAAGGATGAAACTGAGATTCCACGAGGAGTGTTTAATAAAACCTTTGTAAAGCCAGTCTCCCTGTTTCCAAGCTAAGAGTAGATGTGTGGTGGCTGAAAGAGCAAGCAGAAGCCACATTGACGCTTGAGTGGGCGCCAGTGGGTGGTCATTAAAGGTGTTTGGTTGGTGAGTGACAAGAACCCCTAATCCATACTGAGGTGGGCCTCGGTGTGCTGAGTGAGCAGGTGCATGTGCTTCTCCCTGACTCCCTTCTCAGACCAACAGGGTGCTACAGTTGCTTGAGGTTTTATTCCCATTTTAAACACAAATGTTTCCATAAAGGTTTTATATAGTTGAATACAAAGGAACTCGATGGATCTGTCAAAGATACACTCTTAAGGTCTTAGAATGGTTAAGGAGACCAGGGGCTTTCTACTTCCATAAAGATTTACAGTCTAGGAAAATCTCCAGGGCAGTTCTACCCTGACCCTGTCCTACAGGAACCCTGCCCCATAGGATCACTGTGAGTCAGAATTGACCCCATGGCCGTGAAAGGGCTGTGTGGAAGGCACTGAAGGACAGACTGGGAGCCAGTGATCACTCACCTCCCCAGTCCACGTAGGAGCGGTCTCGCTGTATCACTCATAGGAAGACAGGGGGAGTTTGAGTCCCAGATTAAAACCAAGAATTTAGACCCAACTGTCTACTGAATCAGGCTGTACCCTTGCAACCACACAGCCCTTGAATCCCCTGTGCCGTCTGTAAAATGGGCAGGCTACTAGCACATTGTGCACTCCCTGGGGGAGGATGCCAAGTCATTGTGTTTGCCTTGCTTTGTTTGGTTTTCTTCTGTTTTGAAATCCACGAGGAAAGATGGATCCCCATTCTGCCTGATGACATGGGAAAAGCCCACGCTCCAGAATCAAGCCCAGGGGATTCTCTACCAGCTGCTCTGAAAGGGAGCACTCCACAAGGTCCTGGATAGAGGCAGAGGAAATGTGCAACAAAACTCAGTGGCCTATAAAGACCAAGCTGACTGGTTGACGGAGAGACTGGTGGAACCCTTCCTGTCTGGAACCCAACTCACGCCGGTAGCTCCGTTTTCAGCCAAGCAATAGGTCTATAAGGTGAACAATAACACTGGGAGGTCCCCACTGCTTAGAACAATCAAACACTTGCAATCAGGAGGGCAGCATTTGCCCAAGGGCAACATTCAGAAGGGTTAGGAAAGAAGGAGAAACGGAAAACAGAACACAGGGAGAAAATGGGATAAGAGATGTTTCCTAGTGGGGATTGCAAGCAGTGATATGCACCAAAATGTGTATGCATCGTTGAATGGAAAACGGATCTGCTCTGGACACCTTCACCCAGTTCACAATAACAAGAAAAAATAATCATCAGTCCCCAGGGGCTGCCCTTGAAGGCATCCATCCTCCATCTGGTTAGCCACTCACCTCCCAGGTCTCGCAGCGGCCCCAGCAGGCGTCGGTGGTGATCCGCAGTCCTCTGCAGCCCGTCTTCTTAGCCACAAACGTGAACTCCCTCACAGCACAGCCCACGAAGGTGTGCAGGTCCCTGCTGGAGGTGCTGGAGACACCGCTGCAGCCAGCCAGCAGCAGGAGGGCCACGGGGCCAAGGAAAAGGTATGCCGCCTTCATGCTGTCTTCCAAAAGGGAGAGGGAGGAGAGTTCATTGACGGGACCCGCTGCCTTCATGGAACAGCCACCAACATGTCAGTCATTGTCAAAGGGGCCATGTTCTTTGTTTCTCCAAAAATAAAAAAAATTAGCCAAGCTAGAATAAATGACCACAGAGTGTGTATAATTGGCTCCTGGCTGAATTCCACAGACCCGCTGTGCTCTGCGGGCACCTGTCTCCCAGGGGAATCCCAGGCTCTTCCTTATTGTGACCTTACTGTGGGTCTTAGAGAAGTCTGCCTCAATGGTCTCTTCAGAATGAATGCAAAGTATGACTCACATGGAAAGAGATGCCGATGCTAACATAACCCTAAAATGCACGTAAATTCTTTTTACGCAGATGCAGAAGATTAGGGCGCCATTGTATAAGCTTTGCTCAAAAGTGCATTTCCAGGTGCCAAGGGGAGGGAATAAACAAATAGTAATAGCTCTATGCCTTATAGATACTGTTACTAACCCAACCCACCATAAAATTTGGATTTGCAAAAAGTACCTAAAATCTGGTCAGCTGACTTAAAATCCCATTCATAAAAATGTGTTCTCCTCCTACTTTGTGCCTCTGGTGTAGGCTCTTGCTGTAATAAGTACCTAGCTGTGCATACATTAAAATCCATATAATTTAAAGCACCCAAGGGTTTCAAATGCAAATGCCCCTGTGCCATCAAGTCTATCATCTCTTCCAGGACCAGAATTACCTTTCAGACAAACTTCCTAGCTAGAAATTAGACATTGCGTTCTGGAATTCTCCTGGTTCGCTACCATTTAAAATGGGTCATGAGGATATTTATTTTCAAATCTCACCTCGGGGCTCCTCCTTCTGACCTATCACCTTAGCAGGGCTCTGCTGAAGTGGACTGAAGTTTCCTTTACGGAGAAGCACTCACCTAATCGTGCTGGTGTGCGCTCTTCTTCCAGAACGGAGACTTGCCCCCAAGGGTTCAGAAAGGCACACAGAATGGTGGAAGTTTGCTCTGGGTAACTGGCTGTACCCTCTGTTACTGGGCTGCTTGATTGCTTGAATATATAGGAAAGGTCTTGTCGATCAAAACAAAAGAGAGGCAGATCCTTACAGGAACCACGAAACACATCAAAGCCCTGGAATATAAAGCCAGTCTCTATTTTCCAAAACCGATTAACGTAAAGGGTGTTGTTTTGTTTCTTAACATCACCTACTAAAACAGAAAGTTGCCGTGGTGGGTGACATAATCCTAGGGTAGTTCACCTGGCTCTCAGGAGAACAAATGCACTGGGGCAAGATGGATTAAAGTTTCCTTCATGGGAACAAGCGTTCTTTGAAAAGAGGAGTAAGTCACCAGCAGCTAATGGCAAACTCTTTCCCTTAACTCCCATGTCTCAATGCATTGAAAAACAGCAAAACAATCTTTCTCATGGGAAAGAACACAGATCATGAACTGAAGGGATGGAAATTACAGTGAAAAAGAACATTCTGGAAATCTTAAAATCAGGTAAAGTATTAGATAACATGAATTACACCTTAGAATGAATCATAAAGGGGGAAAATAGCAAAATCGTTCGAAGTCATGATCCTCCAGCATGGGAATGACAAGAGACTTTTCATGCATTTCCCCCCATTTTCTGCACTTTTCACAGGGCTGACATTGGGCAGACTTTGACATATCAAATAACATTAATATTTTTTCACTAAAATAAACCACCTAAGTGTCCATCCATCTGACACGCAACAACATCCAATGTTATTGTATTGGAAACACGTGCTTTCTTTACATTTCCAGTTCTAAATAGCATTCTTTTTATTTATGAGCATGAGACGAAGTTTATATTCCAATCTGTAAGAACAGCACACAGATAGACTGAAAACCTAGCCATTCAAGTCATTTTTCTGGGTGTTCTAAAAAATAAATGAAGTGGACATGATCCTCGCTCCAAAAACCCACTGCCATTAAATTGATCCTGATGTAAAGGAAGGCTGCAGAACAGAGTAGAACTTCCTCACAGGGCTTCTTAGAGAAGCCACAGCCTCATCTTTCTCCCACGTAGGGGCTAATGGGCTCAAACCTACCACCTTATGCTTAACCACTGAGTGCTTCACCACTGCACTACCAGAGCTCCCATGTATATATCGTGTGTGTATGTGTATATGTATGTTTGTGTGTGTATATATATATAAAATATATATACATATAATATATATATACACTCCTGTATAAGCTGAGTTTTTCAGCACATTTTCCCCCTATTTTAAAAAAATCATTTTATTGGGGACTCATACAGCTCTTATCACTATCCATATATATATATCCATTGTGTCGAGCACACTTGTATGTTTGTTGCCCTTATCATTCTCAAAACATTTGCTTTCTACTTGAGCCCTTGGTATCAGCTCCTCATTTT